ATATAAGTGCTCCCACGCCTGATTTCAATGTTTTAATCTAATGCATGCACTAACTGCAGTAAAGACTGTGCAGCTCTTACTGCATACCGCAACATAGACACACATACTGTATATACAGAGGCTACAGATACTTCCATGTTACATTCAAGTCAGATATAGGACCTCAGGGAGCAGAGAGATAAGGTTCAACCCTTTCATGTTGCATGTGTAATCCACTCCACATTGACACTGCGCCATAAACGCGCAAGACCTGAATAAATAATTGACCCTGATTCACTAAACATTACACACCAGGACTGGGTTGCACCAGCTATTCATTAATCCAGCTCTCAGTTTGTGCATTAAAGGGATATTTTGGATCTTTTGAAGTGGGGTTGTATGAGGTAATTTGCCATAGTCAGTGTATAACATACAGTAGACGTCGGTCAGCATGCGCCCAGTTTGGAGAAACAGGCAGGACTACAGACACAGGAGCTAAGCTAGCTACCTAAAATAAGAACAATATCAGTTTAAGTGCACACTAGATTTAGAATATTTTCACTGCTTTATCTTGCAGCAGACAACGCTTTCCGACAGGGAAGCCCTCAACAGCTTTAGTTCCATATCTATGCTCTTGTCAAAGCCACCAGACTCCATTGACAAAAATAACTTGCTGAAAATAAGAGCTGCTGGTCTACCACTGCCTATGTCAGTTAATTTGTTTGTGTTAATATGTGATTTTGGTGAATCGCAACTAAACCTTTATAATGCCAAAGTCACACAATAACACAAACAAACTAGCTAATCGAGGCAGCAGTAGAGCAGCAGCTCCTGTGTTCACCTGTGTTTAAACAACCTCACTTCAAAAACTAACTTTCCCTTTAATGCTTTAACACATCCACAAGGAAATGTGTTGCAACATGACACACTTGGTCAGATTTGATGTATCACACCTATTGAGCTCCTAGCATTTAAAAAATGACACAATCTAAGTAAATTTACTGCTCAAACACAGCTGGTGCTGCAGGTGTCTTTGTATTTGCTGACTTGTCAGATCAATGAAGAGCTGAACTGACTATGGATAAGTACCTCACACAACCCCACTTCAAAAGATCCAAACTATCCCTTGAAGTCTTTCTGACACTCTTAATAAGCACTCAAACTAGTGACTTACTAAAACAGGCTGCACCATTAAAACTTCAGCAAGACTTTTAGTTAAGACTTTTATGTAAACAGAAAGTAACTGCTGTATGAGAAGCTGTCAAACTGCAAGGCCCTGATGACACAGAAAGCATTTTAGCAGCGGGAGGCTGCTTTTTGTAGTTGTTTTTGCATTGCAACGCGCCTCACGTTTCTGCGCTCTAGGTGCCTGGCTTTTTTGCTGCAGCACTCTGAACTCCACAAGTTAAAAAAACCAACTTGGAGCAGAAAAGCGCCCCACATCATCTCCGCTTTTCCTAGTGTCTAATTGGATGATTTAAGAGGCGGGACTTCTGTGGTGGTCATGACAACAAGTTTACAATTGGTAAACGATGGAGGAGAAACTGGTGGTAGTGGGTGCCGGATACCCAGAGCTATACCATAGACAGCAGGTTGTCAAACTGCCCCTGAGTCATCCTAAAATATGCCTGGAAACAACCATCATGGAGGTGAAGCTCCTGGACCAACTGGTGGTACTCCCCATGATCCACCCTCTTTTTTAGGGTCTCATGTACCCACACAGATCTCTGTTTCCCTGTGCCCAACAAACTATTTGCTGTTCGGAACTAGATAATAATTACTGTCAAATAAATAAAATAAATAAATGGTAGATTGATTACACGGGCAGGTTAGGATAAGGAGGTGATAGGGTGGTTGCCTGGCAATGATAAAAAGGCAAGGAAAGCGTTTTCTTTTTTACTAGTAGCATTCAATTTAAAAAAAGAAAAGGCAGTACAGTGCACGTCGCATTTCACAACCTGCAAAATGCTTTCTGTGTGATCGGGACCTGAGCGTTGTGTTAAATTTGACTGTCAAGCATTTACAAATTTAATTTCGGTGTAACTTTCTTTTATTTATTTATATACACATACATCAAAGTTAGCAGTACTTACATAGTTTAGAGTAAAAGGAAATATTCAGCCATGCTAACCTGACACTACTTAGTTGGCCTAACATTCAGGCTGATGCTATTAGCATAGCATTCTGTTGTTTTAGGCATAACTTATTGTTTTATCTTTGTGGAATATAATTTAAGTTCATGTCCTTGTTAAACAGTATTTTGATTAAGTGCGACATCAAATATGTGACCCTATCTTAAATAATCCCTTTTACTCTTCATTCAAAACGGGTCTGTTAGCAAGCTAACGTTAGCTTAGTTTTAGCTAACGTGTCGGTTCAGTTAGCTATGAAACCGTTAAACCTGGCAGTTAATGGGTTCAAATATATACTAATTACTAATCTCTTAATAAGAACTACTAGACCGTATGTTTTAATATCCATTGAATAAATACTTATGTTATGATAAGACTAATTTAAATCTACAATAAACTGGTGCAACCAGTCCAAAGACCTTAAGAAAAACTCAAGTAACGTTACCCAAAACAAAGAGAACATTTATAAGCACATTATTCTTCTCCTTTTCCTGTGTCTGTGCTCCCAGCTGATGGTAATGTCTTTCTTTGCATGTGCAGAAGTTAATGGCTCAAGCTTCTTATCTGTGCTGTTTTTTCAACCGTCTGCGGTCTCCTCTTTTGCATTTAATCTCAAAGTGACGGTGCCAGTGAAATATCCCTGTTACTCTGGAACATAATCCAACATCTTCACCTTCTTGATCCCAGGTTAAGTTTGAATGAATTGGTGCTAATCCCCTGATCGATAGCTATTTGTATTTGTTTTGCAAGCGATCAGAATGGTTCCACTGCAGAACCAACCTGTATTGTTGGGAATAAAAGGCGGGGTGAGGAGGTTGACATTGCCATTGGGGAGTCCAGAGTTTCCCAGGGAGGTGATGAGGGGCAGAGTCATTGGCGTTGGCACCAGGGTTGGCACAGAGTGCATGGAGGGGTTAACCGGGATGGGTGTTAGGATGGGCATGGCTGACATAGCTGACATGGATGACAGACCGACTGACAGGTTTGGCATAGAACCCATTCCTGTAAGGAGGAAACACACATGTGAACATGAAGATATTAAGAACAATATTTCAGAGGATGTAAGAAGTTGAATTTGAAAATGGGTTTCTTCATTTTGTAGAATGAAAACCCTGAAATTATTGTAACTCAGCTAAATGAGTTATTTGTGTCAATCAAAGACTCGCCTGCTTGATGCCTATTATTCTTTGAAAGCTGCCATTATTTTGTACCATTAGTCATTTCTTAAGGAGCTATTTCTTTTTCAAATGCAGCCCATTTTGAAATAAAACTCTTCAAATGAGTGAGTCATTTTTCCTTTGTTACTGCTGGGGTAGGCAGAAATCTAGAGAAGGCAAAAAACCATCAGTATTTGAATGTACACCCTCATCCTGCTGCCTTCCTCTCTCTGTCTTAAGCCCCTTCCACCAGGTGACCACGGGCATATGCACATACTTCATACAGTAACCCCATATTTCTCAAACATTGATTTATTTAATCTTATTTCATTGCAGAGCTGGGCACAGACCCTCCTTGCTCCGCTCCTTCTCTGTTTATCAGGCCACAAATGAAACAAGAATTAGCAAGCATCACCCTGGTCCCTCCGCCTTGCTCCTCACCACAGTAGTCTGCTTCCCTGGGAAGAGAGCAGGCAGCAGGTCTAGAGACGGACCTTCAGCCACTGACTGTAGCAGCTCGAATTTGGCCAGCGAAAGTCCCTCAGTGCTGGGCTTCACAACAGACTGGCCGCCAGCAGCAGCTCTGGATGTGTCACAGCAGCAACAGAAAGTTTGCTGATCTAGTGGGGTGTCAGGGCTGTCCAGTCCACCGGAGCTGGGGTTTGTGCTGGCTGGATTTGGGTTGCTGCGACGGCTTACTTGGAGTCCTCCTGAGCTGCTACCCACTCTTCTGCCAGCGAGGTGGTCCATTGCAGTGGGGAGTGAGGCGGATGACTCACTGTGGTCTGAGGCTCTAGCTAATGTTAGCTTCATAACTATAAACTCGAAGCGGCAGCTATGAGCCCATAGCTCTGATTAGCTGAAGGCTAAACTATTAGCAACATTTTTTTCTCCATCTCTGAAACAATTCAACGACACTGACACATTTTGCTTCTTATCAAACTCTTTTAGACTTTCACCTTGGTAAGTCTGTCTTCTTTTTTGGGGCTGCTTTGCAGTGTAAGCAGTTGTAACCATTACTGGAATAACAACTTTCTCTGCCATTGAATCAGGCTTTCATCTTTAGGACATGCACAAACATCTGCATTTTGAGAACGGCAAATGGGGACGCCCTTTCTCTGAAATGACCTGTGATTGGCCACAAGGGCTAGATTTTCTAAAACCTGAAAACAGAGCCAAGAGGAGATGCAGAAGTCTCTCAGTCCACTTGAATAACAATAAACTTAAAGTTTATTATGGCATTTTTGCCCATTGATGGCAAAATAATTATTAATTATTAATTATTATTATTATTATAATTTCATTATATGGGAAAAAGTTAAAATGTATTGGTTTTGAAATTGGATCACAGCTGTAATATCCTCTGAGAAATCTTTACCAAAACGTGCTGATGAAGGGATGGTTGGAGCAGAATTGGCGACAGGAGGTTGCTTCATGGTGATTGGCAGGACAGATGGTAAATTCCGCCCCTGAAGTTTGAGTTTAATGAGCTTCATAGCGATGGAGAACTCTTGTCTGTCCATCTTCCCATCGCTGTCCATGTCAGCGAGGTTCCTGCAGGAGGAGATGATGTATTATATGATCGGTGTGTAGTCCAGTGTGCACTCCCAGTATTTTGCGTTTTCTTTATTGTGACCGTAGAAAGGGCGAGAGTTACACAAGGCTCCGGTGGGATTGAATTCCAGTATACACACACACACACACACACATACACCCACACACACACACACACACACACACACACACACACACACGCGCGCGCGCACGCACACACACACTCTCCCCCTTCTTACACACACAGTTTACTAGGTGGGGCAGGCTGTGAAGGAAGTGTGCGCTCAACAGGAAGTACAAAGCAGGCCAAGAAGTCCAAACTAACAAAAAACAAAGCTTGGACCTACTGACCTACTTGCTCTGGCTCAACAATGTGGTTAGTTGATGCTTACCAGATCTCCGCCAGGACAGAAGGAGGCAGGCCAGATTGGAGGAAGAACTTCCTGGCTTGTTCTCCTGAAGACAGACAAAAAAGAATGACTGGGGTTCGGAGAAACAGCTGTTTGATAGAGTTGAACCACTGATGACACCTCTGTTTGTTATGACAACAATGTACCTGAAACATAGCCGAGGACGGGGGCGAGGGTGTCGAACTGTTTGTCGTGCTTCCCCCTCTCCTCTGGAGTGATGGCCCACGTAGTGGCTCCGCCTGGACAAAAGAGACAATCCTGAATTTTAATTTTGAGGTCAAATTATAACAACTTTAATAACTTCACTTGTTCATGTAAGTCCTGGTAAAACACGACATCTTAAATGTGCAATAAAAGGACAAAGGACCCCTACAAAGCCACAGGGTTGCCCTGGTAGCCAACTGGTTAAGACGGACATCATAAAACTGAAATGTCCACAGTTTCATTAGGGCAAGGGACCTCTGGTGCATGCCATATCCCCTCTCTCTCACCATGCTTCCTGTCTCTCACTGCATTTCAGATATCAAATGCAGAAACGCCTGGATAAAAAGGTTATTTGAGGATAATTTAAACAGAATGCCAACCTCATGGTGGTGCTAGAAGAAAAGTCTGGGCCCATCTGTTCTGATCAAATTTCAGTTATTGCCTTGGATCAAATCTTTAAAACAGGTTGTTCAATCGGGGGAAAACAGGGATTCTAATATCGGATTTGATCTCATAATCAAATTTTGGTTTGGATCTGGATCAAATCTTCCATATGTGTTCTTCAGAACTTTTTAGTAGGATTTAGGGCTGCACAGTTAATCAAGGATTATTTGTTGGGACAAAGTACTTCTTTTTTCTTAAAATCTACCTTACTGATAGGCTCAATAGGTAGCCTGATATACTTTATCTCTGTAACGTTAAACAAATCATGTGCAAAATATGAATAAATGTATGTATATTTGACTAATTTTGTTGCTGTAATCCAGCCCTCTGCTCGGAGCAGGATAATCCTGATTTTCTGGAAGAAAGGTATCCCATTCTACTGAATAGTTCTTCAACTTCAACTTTATTTTGTTCCTATAGGGCAATTAGTTGCACAGCAAGTAAAAGCATACATAAAAAGACACGCGAGAACGCATAAGAATATAAATACAATGATCTGAAACAACACTTGTCATCAACAACAACCATCAATATCGATATCAACAACATCATCACCGTCATCATCACAGGATCATAGCAGGAGTAACAAACAGCCAAAAGAGTAGCCTCAGTACTAAGTATGACTCGTTACTGCCCTGCATTCAAAAGAGAAATGGCAGTAGGAATGAAGGAGTGCTTGTATCTGTTGCTCTTAACTTGGGAAAATCTGAGCCAAGAAACAGAGCTGTCGGAAAGGATGGCTTTAGCCTTCCTTACCATCTGTTTATGAAACAGGACAGATAACGTACTCAGATGAACTCCCAAGATCTTGCTACCCGTTTTCGCAATGCTACTTAGTGCATTTTTGGACCTGACGTTGAGAATCTCAAACCAGCAGAGAAGAAAGAAGGTCAGGACAGACTCCATGTAAGATCTTTAAATACGATCATAGGTGACTTATCAATGTAGACAGTTCTGAACAACACATACTAAAGGGTTGATCCAGATCAAAACCAAGACTGGATTACATAATAAATACGATTTCAGAATCCCTTTTTCCTCTTTTGAACAACCCATTTTCAAGATTTGATCCAATCCAGAATCAGATCGGATTTCTCTGAACAACCTGCCTCAGGAGACCATGAACGTTTGTACGAAATTTCATAGCACAGATCAACAATGCGATCCAAAGAGAAAAGTCTCAACCATGACGAAAAAGTAACTACAACCACTCCAAAACTCAAACTGACGAATGCATATAGTATATTCCACACATTACCATTTCAATAGTCTGTAACTCTGCATGTCAACTGGTGCTGCTAAGTAGAAGGAACTCAGATACACAAAGATCCTGCTGTATTTTAACACTAGCTGCAATTCTGACCCTCAAACCTTCATAAATATGACAGCACCATTTCTTGTGGAGAAAAATCCATAGAAGAAAGAAATTTCAAACCACAATGTGTGGGCTGCGCTCTGCTCGTCAACACACAACAAACACAGCAACACATCCCCAAAGCAGAAATGCTAATACTGAATTCAGTATACAGTGTCTTTTTAACTTTGCCACCCGAAAAAGTCTGCATAATTTCCATCCCAAATGAGACCTCCCCTCAGATGAAACCACTCTTAACCAACTCCTGACAATGATTAATGTATAAAAATGTCCAGTCAGCTTTTTCTCACTGTGCTCCACTCTTGCATATCTCAAGGTAAGTTCAGGGTTGGCCATGAATTAAATATGAAGTCAAATGTGCTATGTGAGGAATATGAAACTCAATTCTTACTCAATTTCATGAGATGTCTTTAACGGAGTGGGGGTGAGAGATTATCATTGGAGCCGATAATCAATTAATCATAGGGGTGTCTGTGAAATTATTTAAATCATAACACGATCAGAGTACATTCAAAGCCTTTTCCTTCATTTCTTTTCCATAACTTGAAGCTGTGAAGCCTTTTTTAATTAAAAGAGTGATTGTGTGGACACTGTGCACAGATGGATCTCTCCATATGGCAGTAATCGAAGGATGGAGATGTAGATAAGGAGACAATGACTGATAACGAGTCCGGACAGCGCAGATAGAGATGGAGAGCGATGCACAGAAGATGAATTCGAACCAGTGTAGCTGAGTGATGGACTAGTTTATCGACTGTAAACTACATTCAGACATTAGAAACAGATGTGCTGGTGTAACAAACGGCCAGTGCTACAGCTGTAAAGTGGCTAATTACAATGTTACAGATGGAAAACAACTAAAGGAAAAAACCACAGGACAAACTTTGTCTATCAGCTCGTCTGCAGCTCAGCTCCTAAACAACTCGTAGTCTTCTGCCTGACAGCGACAGACGGGCCTCCCTGATGCCAATGGCTGTAACCATGGTGATCACAGCGGTACAATCCTCACACAAAATGTTTGCACAGTTTCTTTGATAACAGTGAGTTTAGTGTAAAATAAAAGCATGTTAATATTATAATTTAAATTTTAGGGCTGCTGTGAAGCTGCGCCTACTCAGGGCAACGAAAAAAATGTATCTTGGGTATGTCGGTATAATGAACAATCAAGACAGGATGGCAGAGGAGATACCTGCACACCAATGTAACTGGGCTGGACAGCCACAAAAAAGGTTCACAGGCTGACATGGGGAAAAAAACAACAGTATATTTATTTAGGACACCTCTGCACAAAAAAGGTACCCTGGAAATCCAGAGTTCTTGTGAAAGCACAATTTGAATTTGCTCAGCGAGTCACTCTGGCAATCAGTAATGATGCTCATTACCTATGCCCATGAAACCGAGCTGCACCAATCACATCGGTGTATCTGATATAGGCGGGCCAGAGGCGAGCTAAACAGATGACGACAGCGCTGTGACGACGAAGTCCGGAATCAGTCAGTAAACATTGCAAGATGGCTACGGATGAACACCAGTTGTTTGAAACGGCTTTGGCCGCTACAATGAACGAGTTAGACTTGGCTTTTTCTCTAAAAGAGGAACAGAAGATGGCGCTCAAATCTTTCCTTTGCAAGAAGGACGTTTTTGCTGTTTTGCCGACCGGATATGGCAAGAGTCTAATCTACCAGTTCGCCCTGCTGGTAGCTAAGCTCTGGATACGTCACCCCGTGTATTGTTCTGATTGGTCGTAGTGTTATCCAATTGCGTGTAGTGATATTTTCAAATGCATTCTTGGTGCCTCCCCTTGAGTTGGGCCATTTTCATTACTCATTTCTAGACCCTAAATCTTTCTAGATTTGGGTCTGGATTTCCAGGCTACAAAAAAGGTGCTCAACATGCAAAAAATAATAAGAAAAAGTGAATTAAAAAATAGTTTTATATAATATTACATAATATTGGTACATATATTTTTCTCTATATATTCATGTTATTTTTCATATATTTTAATTTTTTTTCTCTCTCAATATCTTACTATATAATGACGAAAACTCTGTCTGTGTTTCTGTTCAACATTTTTCTCCTCACTGACTTGGTCAATCCATATGAAATTTGGCACAGTGGTAGAGGGTCATGGAAGGATGCGAATGAAGCAATATTACATCAATTGGCCAAAGGGGGGCGCTATGGCAACCGACTGAAATGCAAACTTTGAATGGGCATATCTCATGCCCCGCATGTCGTAGAGACATGAAACTTTGCACAGAGATGCCTCTCCTCATGAAGAACAAATTTGCCTCAAGAACCCATAACTTCCGGTTATATAGATTTTCCGCCATTTTGATTTTTTTTTTTAAAAACACTTAAAATCGATCTCTTCCTAGGAAGTTTGACCGATCTGCATGAAACTGGATGAACATAATCTAGGGACCAATATCTAAAGTTCCCTCTTGGCAAAAGTTGGAAAACTTACTAAAACTGAGCTTCTATAAGGCAATGAATATTGCTGAGGGCGTGGCTCATCACATAAAGGTGTATAACATCTCAAGGGTTTCACCCATCACCATGCAACTTTGTAGGCATATGACTACACATAATCTGAGAGGACCCCTCCATTATTGACCCCATCAAACAAAATGGTGGCACTGGAGAGCTAATTTCTTATCTAGGCCTAACCGCCATATCGATTTTTAATAAACTTGGTAGATATGTAGAACAGGACGCCTCAAGGTGACTGGAGAAATTGAACTCTAATTGGCAACTGGGTGGCGCTATAACAACAGAAAAATGCTTAAAAATGGCCCAAATGTGACCAATCGCTGTGGCTCCCCCTGTGGCCCAATGTTGTTTTTTTCCTAATTTAAGTATCAATGCAACTGGCCCTTTCTAGTGGTGCAACATGGCGCAGAGTCCTGCACTTGGTCAGATACCTGCAGGTACTAGACGAGTGACCTGCAAAAAAGTTATTTGCAGGTGGTGTTTTGTCTTAACTTTACTTATGGGTTTGGGTATGAGTGGAAAAAAAACATGCTGGTTGGATCATGTGTGTTGGATGATAAATATATTTAAATAAAATATAAAACAATACTAATTTAATCTAATGTTTTAACGTTTTAATCCTTTGACTGCTGACTTTGTGTGTCAGCTCTGTCTTCTCTGCCAGCTGGAATATGAGAGCTGCTTCAATCAGGTACGTCACTTAACAGGCACGTTAACTGTGGA